TTCTCAGAGAGAGCACACAGACTTTTCAGTGCTTCAGATCTTAACAGTGAGGGAAAGTGGCATCATTTCCTGTATCTCACGTAGTTGTAGGAGATAATTCCACTGATTTAAAGGCAAAGTATGGTACGGTAACAGAGTTGACGCTACACAAATTATTATATTGTTATTGACTGTAAAATCTTGTAATTCATAACAATAAGTAACAAATTATTAAAATAATTAAAAATATAACCATTTGAAAAAAAGCAGGAAAAAGTAATGACTTCGGACACCAAATGTACCTGCAATTATAGAATCACCCACCTGCTTACTGTCTCACTGTTTCATTACCTGTGTCCGAAACGGCTCCCTATCCCCTATATAGTGCACTATATGGGGTGTCGGCCATTTTGTAGTGCTGTCCGAATTCTGAGTGAACGAGTTAATTCCCTACATTCGTTCACTACTTTTTACCCACAATCCTCTCTGATTTTGCATGTACAACCGATGTACACTCGCTGAAGCACTATTTCCCATAATCCAATGCGGAGAGGACTGACGAGCTGGAAGAGAGAGCGGGAGCGAGCGAGTTTGAATGAGAGATCTTCATTATTTCTGCTTTCACGGTTTGGCTATTTCATGCGTTATTCAAATAAAATATATTACTTAGGCATTAACTCAGTTTAATGTTTTACTAATTTACTGAGGTGGCGTTGTTGTTAACGTACAAGAGATGATGGAGATGTGATGATAATTTGGTGGATGATTATAAAATATTCGATAATCACCTGTATGTAGCGTATTCATCCTAATGTAATATTAATGGTCGCCTGAGGGCGCTCTATGACCACTGTGAGCGTCCACTTCACACTGTCGATGTTTCTGCGACAGCTCCAGCTCTCGGCAGTTTATACGTCAGCGTCCGAATCCGCTCACTCCGTTTCGGTCACTCCTTTCTGATATAGTGCACTAAACTGCCATACACTATATAGGGAACAGTGAACGAGTGAGCGATTTCAGACACGGCTATTGTGTGTAAAAGAGCAGTGTGAACATTCATCAGAATTTCTCATATTGTGTTCTATCTAAAAAAGTAAAGTCATGTTTAGGGGGGTGAACTGTCCCTTTAAATGATGGCACGCTATAAGGACATCTCTTATACATTAACATTTTGACCCCCTGGCCCAGGCTGAAACATATGCGTCATTCTAGTCCGTCGCACATATGCTGAAATCAATGAATGCCCAACAGTGCATGACAACACGCTTCAATAACCGGTGAAATCATGCATCTTAATGCACAGGCTCAGTTAGATGCCGCAAACACAGGCAACATCAGCACAACTCTACCCTAGTCACTAACTGCACTCAAAGTTCATACCTGAACTAATATGTAAAGCATAATAAATCAGTGATCACGAGGAGAACGCCGCAGCGGGTCATACAGTAGCCTACCTGCGGCAAGACGCGACGCGTGCGTTCTCTGCTGACACAGCGCTTTCGCTTTCACTGACACCGCGCACTGCAGGAGACCGTGTCACGTTTACATCTGACTGAAGAGCAGCTGCACTGTGCCTGGGTGAGTGTTTGAAGCGCTCGAGCTGAGTCGCCGCTGAACAGATGCACGGACATTTCTCCTGTCCGGGACTCCTCGTGATCACGTGACCGCGTTGCCCTCCGTGACGGAGCTCGCGCTGATGTGCGTTACGGTAAACATCCCGTATCGGAATCACCTCTCTTCATGCACCAGCGTGCACATATGCACCTTTAAAATCTATGAGATTATTCATAATACTTCAGCATAACATTTAAAAGATTTAGAGGCTCGCTGGTCTTCGTTGTACCAATATCATGCTGATTTTTAATTGAAACATACGCTCCTGTTTCAAGCTAAGTTCCGCCTCTTTCATTGATGACGAATTTACTGTACAATAATCATTCCAAAATTATATGAACTATTAAAAATATGAAACTTAGAGCCGTAAAGTTATTTTTTGTATCAGAATTTTGTGAAAGCGCAATTCACACATATATATATATATGATTTACATTTATATTTAGGATTTGGATTTAACCGTTGCACTTAACATTTACATTTAGATTTAGAATTTAAATTTAACATTCAGATTTATTTGTATATTTAACATTTAGATTTAAATACAAGATTAAAGATAAGATAAAACATTTAGGCCTTTAACATTTTATTTTAATTTAGTATTATAGTAATAAAAAACATTGCATAAAGCTTTAGGTAAATCTTGCTAAATGTATTTGTTTTGGTAGTTAAATCTGACCAGTTTTTCTTACACATTTCATTTTACAAACGGCACCCCATATGCGCAAGCTTTATGTGTGTGGAATAGGCTATAAAGGATCATTATGGTTTACTTCTTGCCAAATTTGTACATGAAAAGAAGGACATAATTCTATTAAAGACAAATTATCGTGAAATGTTTACTTTCATAGGCGGATTGTCGGCAACAGCCATGGTTTGTGATTTGGTCTTAGTGACTTAGGAGTCCTCTTAACTACCCCTAACTTTTCGCAGATTTAGGAGCTGATTTTAGCGCTTTAGAGCACAAATTTAGGAGTCCTAAAGTTAGGACTGACACGCCCATTATATTTAAAGTGTTAGTTCACCCAAAAATGAAAATTAGCAGATAAATTACTCACCCCCGATGCATCCTAGGTGTATATGACTTTCTTCTTTCAGACGAATCCAGTCGGAGTTATATTAAAAATGGTCTTTGATCTTTCAAGCTGTTTCATGGCACATGTTGCATGCTTTAGTCCAAAAGAAGTTGATTAAAAAGCGCCCTTCCATAAAAATAAAAAGTGTCTCACACGGCTCCGGGGGGTGAACAAAGGCCTCCTGTAGCAAATCGATGCGTTTTTGTAAGAAAAATATCCATATTCAGAACGTAATAATCACTTTAATGTAGCTTGCGCTCACTGTTGTACACTGGAAGCAGTTCCGGGCGGATGAGGTCAGCGCTGCACACAACATATTGGGAATCTCTCAGGACCCACTGGTCTGTATCGTATGGATTCTCTCATATAACACCTGGAGCTCTTCGTCCAAGGTCCAGCTCATCAAAACTGTATTATTTACTGCCAGATGCTGCAGTGGATTTCTGAAAAACCGCCAGCAAAGACACAGTGGACTAAGAGTGTATTGGACATCATGCCTTAAAAACAAGCCATTTCAGTTTTACAAAACTTGGGACCCTTTTCTCTCCCACTTGGGAGACAGTTTGAGTTGGATGTTGAAGAACGGACTGTGTGGCATTACATGGACCGGAATGAGATGAACATGGATGTTACTGGGTGCCTTCAACAGTTTAATTTAGTTATATATTTTTTATTTTATGTTGCTTTCCTCTTGTATGTATGTATTTTATTACAACTATCATTGCTGTTTTTGTTTTTTTCCTGGCAATTGCGCTGCTCCTGACTGTGACAGCATTAATGTTTTACTACGACCCCTCGCAAAGACACAGTGGACTAAGAGTGTATTGGACATCATGCCTTTGGAAGCCTTGAGTTTCTTCCTTAAAAACAAGCCATTTCAGTTTTACAAAACTTGGGACCCTTGTTTCTCCCACTTGGGAGACAGTTTGAGTTGGACGTTGAAGAACGGACTGTGTGGCATTACATGGAATGAGATTAACATGGATGTTACTGGGTGCCTTCAACAGTTTAATTTAGTTATATATTTGTTATTTTATGTTGCTTTTCTCTTGTATGTATGTATTTTATTACAACTATCATTGCTGTTTTTGTTTTTTTCCTGGCAATTGCGCTGCTCCTGACTGTGACAGCATTAATGTTTTACTACGACCCCTCTGAAGACAACTGTTATTTATGGATAGTTTTTTTTTTTTCCTTGCAAAAAAAAAAAAAAAAAAGAGGACATTTGCTCAGTGGACCTTTATCAGCGCATCTCTTCAGTGTTGATGGTTCAATGGCACTAAAGGTATGTTATTGGCCAACCATGGCCTTGGAGTGAGAAGTTATATGTGTCACGCTGTGCCTACTGTGAAGGAGCGAGGAACCAGGAGATGTGGAGTATCCAGAATAATAACAGACTTTCTTTTAACCAAGGAAATCACACGTAGGACACGGGGATCGACATTCAATACCGGATGCTAGACTTAGGAAAACACAGGGCTAAAGTAATGGGACTAATCAAGGAAATTAACTGGAAACACCTGGAACAAATGATCATGATTGAACATGACGGGAAAACTGGGTCATAGACAGGGTGTGAACTACGGGGGAGCTAGGGGGATCTCGGCTCCCTTAATAAGACATGGGCTCCCCTGAAAATGTGATTTGTGAAATTTTGGGGGGTCTCAAAAAATATTGACAATGTGTTATTTTGACGTGCAATTTCAATTTTGTGTAATGTGATCATCGTGGATTATTATGTGTAAAATTGCAAAAATATCATTCATTCATGCATGACGGCGATTTAAACCTAATTAACTTCAATAAAGATAACTATACATGCTATTCTTGTCATGAGCATCAAGGTGTGGGGGCGCTGCGGTGCAAATTCCACTCATGTTTAGTACATGTTAACTCAAAGATTCGTAGAAAAAATATAAACGCTGGACTCTGTGGTCGATTCTGTGTTAAAGTAAGGCATGTTATTCGCAATTATGTGTTGTGGCTGGGCTATTTGTTGTTTCACCTATCAATTCGTGTCAATAAAGTATAATAGGGTAAAATTTTGGGGGGTCTCAAAAAATATTGACAATGTGTTATTTTGACGTGCAATTTCAATTTTGTGTAATGTGATCATCGTGGATTATTATGTGTAAAATTGCAAAAATATAATTAATTCATGCATGACGGCGATTTAAACCTAAATGTCTGTCTGCTTATTGAGTTTATTTTAATTTATTAGAGTAACTACTCACCTTAATGTTGTTCTAAAGGCTTATTACTTTTTTTCCAAAACACACACAAAAAATCTCCTGCTCGCACTTGCCAATTTAATGGCAGAGAATGGTGACTTTAGGTTTTTTTTGTAGCGGATTCATATCTGTCGTGAAATAATCCTATGCATCTCGTGGCGTATATTCCAAGCGTTCTGAAGGTATACTGTGGTGAGATACAAACCGAAATGGCAAGTTATTACATTTTATGAAAATCCTGCATTGCAGTCCTGTGTGCGAGCGCATATCCTTTTGAGATATCAATTATAATCAATTTGAATAAAACACAAGACTACATTATAAAACTATAAAAGAGTAGGCTATTTAATATCTGTTGTTCTCTGGTTGTCAGTCAGAATGACAATTCTTGCGTGAACGTTATAGGCCTATATATTACCCAAGCCAATTTATTATTCTTTCCTTTTTGTCTTAGTGTTTAAAATATTTATTTTTAAACAAATTAATTAATTACTTAATTAAACAAACAGACTTACTGGGTGAGCAGATGACAGCTGTCATATCTTACCTGCCATACCCAGCTGATGCAAAGAATAGAATTTATATCTACACAGAAGAAAGCCCTGTCTAGACTCTGCCCTGGTACGAGTTGTGTCGAGCTATTCATTAGTCTGCTTGTTTGATGAAAAAAGGTGAAATGTAGTTGCAATAAATGCGTTAAGAATCTGTACACCTGCAGCCATGGAGGACTATTATTCTGCTGCGTGGTACTGCGGAAGAACTGATGACGGCACGGTTTGATCTTCGGCTGACCAATCAGCAGAAAGGGGAGTTTAATTCCCGCCCACGTGTAGAAATTCAAGCTGTTTATTCATTTTTCTACCCCTGAACGAAAAACAAAAATTTAAG